CAGAGCTGCCAGACATAAAATGCCTTGCTGATCTTCCACCCCCACAATGCTTTACCTCTGGAAACCTTGACAGTTGCAGAGAGAACCTGCAAAACACTCCCCCTGCCAAAAAATTTTAAAATACTGTATATGAGTAAGTGGTGCCAAGAGTTTAAAATGGTAAAGTTTACCATCAGATAGGTAGAATGGGTGGTGATATAGAAATGGAAATTAAGTGAAGTTACTGAAAATAAAGTTATATTTTCCATACACTGATGCTTGTGGACTTGTGGGCTGAGATTCTTACAAGATTCCAGAATTTTCAATGTCTCAAGTAATTGTTTAAAACATTATTATAGTCATGCTACAAATGTTGATAGAGATTCTGGGGTAGGTAGAGAGAGGGGCACTCACAGAGAATCAGTATAAGCCCCCAAAATACCTTGGGATTTGCTGAATTCAGTGTGCCTTGGCATGATTTTACAGGCTCGTTAACGTTAAGTGAGCCACTCTTCGAGCAGCACAAAAGAGACATTTTCTGCAAATGTGATTATCAGGTCAAAGACTGAGATCCTCCTTGCCCACAGATTTTCTCCTTCCCTAAATTCTTTTTCTCATTTCTTTGTCAGCAGTGCCTTTAATTATTTTTTAGCTGCATTTAAAATGGTTTCTATTATTTCTGCATGAGCAAGAGAATGTGTCATTCCAGCCTCCTTGTCAGCTTCTGTTTCACTTTCATTAACGTTGTTGATTGAGTGTAAAAAGGAAGGTACTGTCATCATTTCCAGATTTTATATCATAGTTATGGGTTAGATCTCTCGTGAAGCAATGCTATGATCCCTACTGCAATTTTGTGGTAGAGCCCTAGAGAGACAGATGAGAACAGGGAAGCCTCCTTATCCCTTTCATGGTTCAGGGAGGCAGCAAGAGAGGGGAGGAGGATACCTCTATCTCTTCTCCATTCATTCATTCATTTGCTTCACAGATACTGAGCACTTCTTGGGTGGCAGGCTCAGATTTAGGTGCTGGAGGTGACAATGGAAAGCAAAAACAGGCCTAGCCTATGGAAACAGCCCAAGTGCCCATCAATCCAAGAATGGATTAATAAAATGTGGTATATGTATACCATGGAGTACTATTCAGCTCTAAGAAACAATGGTGATATAGCACCTCTTATATTTTCCTGGTTACAGCTGGAACCCATACTACTAAGTGAAGTATCCCAAGAATGGAAAAACAAGCACGTCATATACTCACCAGCAAACTGGTATTAACTGAGCAGCACCTAAGTGGACACATAGGTACTATAGTAATAGGGTATTGGGCAGGTGGGAGGGGGGAGGGGGGTGGGTACATACATACATAATGAGATGTGCACCATCTGGGGGATGGTCATGCTGGAAACTCAGACTTGTGGGGGGAGGGAAGGAAAGGGCATTTATTGAAACCTTAAAATCTGTACCCCCATAATATGCCAAAATAAAAAAAAAAAAAAAACAGGCCTGGTTTCTGCCCTCATGGAGCCCATGATCTGGTGGTGAGACATTTTAATCAAATAAACACACTAATAGTTGCTCCTAGAGATCTTGATTTAATTGAGCTGAAGTAGGGCCCAGGCCTCAGTAATTTTTACAAGCTCCATCAGTAACTCTGCCAGGGCTGAGAATCACTGGGCTAGACCACACAAGTTCTAATCATACAACTCCTAATCAAGTGCTGTTAAGCATTTTGATTGTACCTTACAAAGTATGGTGGAAAAAAAATTCCTGAAGAGAGGTGACATGATAAGATTTTTCAGAGTTCTTTAAATTAAACTGTTTTATTTTGAAATGATCGTAGATACACATGCAGTTGTAAGAAATAATATGGAGGGATCCCACGTATCCTTTACTAGTTTTCCCTAATGGCGACATCTTACAGAACTATAGTATGACATCACAACCAGGATATTAACTTTGATGCAGTCAAGATAGAACATTTTGAACACCACACAGGTACTTCTTGTTGTCCTTGCAAAGCCATGCCAATGCCCTGGCCCCTTTACTCCTGGTGACCACTAATATGTTTTCCATTTCTATAATCTTGTCATTTCAACGATTATATAAATGCAATCATATATTTAGGTCATTAAATATGAAATATCTTATTTTGAATCAAAAGTGTAGTTTATTACATCTCAAATAAGAAGCAGTACAATTAACGAAAGTATGCCCTAATCTATAGAAAGCGTTGCCACCTAAATGGTAGCTTGCTTATGCCACCAGCAAAGAAGCCTGGAGAGCAAGTAGCCTGGGTACAATTGCCCAGGTACTAGGAAGTTAGATGGAGAAGGCTATACTAACTGGAATTCATATCTATTATATGTGTGATATAAACAAAAATCAAATTGTTACTAAGCAAAATTCCTTTTTTTTTTTTTTGAGACAGAGAGCTCTGTCACCTGGTAGTTCACAGCAACCTCAAACTCCTGGGCTCAAGGGATCCTCCTGCCTCAGCCTTCTGAGTAGCTGGGACTATAAGTGCACACCACCCCCATGCCCAACTAATTTTTCCATTTTTAGTAGAGAAGGGATCTCAATCTTGCTCAGGCTGGTCTTGAACTCCTGATCTCAAGTGATCCTCCTGCCTCAGCCTCCCAGAGTGCTAGGATTACAGGTGTAAGCCACTGTGCTCGGCCCAAAATTCCATTTTTAAATGAAATGCTCCAATGAGTAATCATATGAAGCTTCTTCAGTTATCTACATTGAAAGAGCATCACATGGCTGGGTCTAGGTAAGTATAAAACGGTGGTTTGCAAACCCTGGCTATGCAAGGGAGATTTAAAAAGTACTCATGCCAAGAGTCCGCTCTCAGAAATTCTCATTGCATAGACAAAGGAAGGTCCAGGTTTGGATATTTACATTCTAGAGAGACATCACCATTCACTGGCTATGTGAAATGGGATCATTAGGCTTAAGAGGAAATTATCAGCGGCTATGGGGTTGCCACTAAAACTATAAAGTTATAAACCTTTGAAGTTCACAACCTTGGCTGCTTCTTTCAATTGACTGTGAGCTTGTAAAAATCTCAAGGTCCAGGCTGCACCCTAGACAAATTAAATCAAAAGCTTTTCAGGAAGAATTTAGGTATCGGCTTTAAAATCTTTGTAGCTGAGGTTGAGTGAGGACCATGGCTTCCAATGAGTGGCTTTACTTTTAGAGATGGCCCACAACAATTAGAATAGCAGATGCTGAGATCTTTGGTCCTTATGGAAATTAATCAACCAAAACATTTTTTAAAATTTCTACTGAGCTTCACTGCTTCAGTCCTATTAGCTGTCGTTCTTCACCTAGGCTTTGTGAAAAGACACTGGTTGGGTTTCTGAAAGGTACTAGTAATTTCTGACATCTGAGATAGTGTCCCTTATGTAAGGAGTCTCTGTTAAAAATTCATTAAGATTCTGTTATGGTTACGTTGTGAAGCACCATCATCTCAGCATTGACTTAAATTAGACTTTTGATAGAGAATTTTAATACAATAATTTACTGTGTGATTGTGCAATTAAAGGACAAAACTCTCTTATGAAATAGGCAATAATGAATGGAAGGTCTTATTTTAACAGGTCTTATTTTAAACAGATATTGCTATATACATGACCCTAATTAATAAATTTGCTAACAGCTCACTATTTTTAGGAACATCCAGCTGTGAGTAGCACTAAATCTACAATAGTTTCTATTTTTAAAAAGAAACATTTCTTCATAAGTGACAGAATTTTTTTAATAGTACAAAGCAATTTTGTGCGGGCATTGTTCAGAGTTTCTTTTGTTCTTTTCAAAGCCGTTAACACATTTTATAATAACCCTGAAAATCATTTTAAACCCAATTTATTCCAATTCACTAGCAGACCATAAACATAGCTTTGTCTGTGAACAACAATGAAAACAAAAGAGCACCCCATTTAGTGAAGATATCCGATGATAACTTGGATTCCGAACTTAGAGAAAGGAAAACGGAGATAGAAATGCACTCCATTTTAATGTTTACCTTCAACGTGGATGGCAAAACTGGGAAGTAAGTCTAGATTAGTCTGTGGTTCCACACCCTCTGGGAGCCTACCCAGGCACTTTAAGCCTCTCTTCCAATTTTTCCTCTCCCTTCAGAATCTAGTATCCTCCGCCTCTCAAATCTTACCTTTAAGGGGAGATAGACTGAGTATTGTTTATTTGTTCCTTAATAAGAATGTTCATTATTTTTTTTTTTTTTTTTTTTTGAGACAGAGTCTTGTTTTGTTGCCCAGGCTAGGCGTCAGCCTAGCTCACAGCAACCTCAAACTCCTGGACTCAAGCAATCCTGCTGCCTTAGCCTTCAGAGTAGCTGGGACTACAGGCATGCCTATGCCCGGCTAATTTTTTTATATATATTAGTTGGCCAATTAATTTCTTTCTATTTATAGTAGAGACGGGGTCTTGCTCTTGCTTAGGCTGGTTTCGAATTCCTGACCTTGAGCGATCGGCCTCCCAGAGAGCTAGGATTATAGGCGTGAGCCACTACGCCTGGCCAAGAATGTTCATTTTTTTTAATGAGTCCTCTTCCAAGAATATTTACATGTTAAGACTTATATTATTCATATAATTATTATTATTGTTGTTAAAAAGGAGCAGTCATACCAGAAGGAAGGAAATTAGAGTAAACTTGGATCAATGGGGTTGTCTATACTTCCAGAGTTGCCCAGAAAAAAAAGCACCCACTATATCTACTTCTATCTTAAAGAGAAATAAAGAACTATTGTTAAAATGCCTTGAAAGTGCCAATGGAAAGAAAAATGAATTTATAATACTAAAAAGAAAACTGGCCTCAATAAAGAGTGAGAGAGACTGCCTGGGCTATCATCTAGAATGAACGACTCAGAAATAAGAGAGCTAGGAGCTCCGAGAGGCAATGATTATTATGAATTCACAAGGGTGGCAATGATTCCATGGAGATGATAGAACACAAATTAGACATTGATGGGATGGAAATTTTCATTTAACAATTCAGTCCATCTGTGCATTTGGTTTCACACAGACTGAAAGTCTAGATGATTGACTTATTAAACCAATGACAAAATGGATTTTAGATTTGGTTAGTTTTGCTTTAAGAAGATGCAGTCTTGGAAAGAATTGAGGAAATACTTCCTCAGAGGCAGAGACTTTTTGAAGTGAGGAGATGTAAAAGAAATTGCTTTGAGTCGTTTCAATCTATTTAGACAAGACCACCTGGTTTGAATGTTTGTCCCCTCCAAAACTCAAGTTGAAGTTTAATTCCCATTGTGGCAGTATTGAGGGTGGGGCCTTTAAGAGGTGATGGGATCATGAGGGCTCTGCTCTGGTGAGTGGATTAATGGGTTAATGGGTTACATGGAAGTGACTGGTGGCTTTACAAGAAGAGGAAGGGAGACTTGAGCTAGCACATTCAGCCCACTAGCCATGTGACACCCTGTGCCACCTCGGGACGCTGAAGAGTCCCCACCAGCAGGAAGGCCCTCACCAGATGGCGCCCCTTCTACCTTGAACTTCACAGCCTCCATAACTGTAAGAAATAAATTAATTTTCTTTATAAGTTGCCCCATTCAGGTATTCTGTTATAAGCAACAGAAAACGGACTAAAGCACCATCCTTTTAACCTAAGCATTTAATAAATCAATTCCTGCTGCCCTTTCCCTACATTTGTACATTAATTACCTCCTTGTGGCACCCCATTGCTTCATTCCTTCCTCCAATCTTTGCTTCCTCCGAGACTGTTGACCCCGTGATTTAAAGGCCTACCCTCTTCTATTCTTTCACCGACAGTCACGGCCTCTAATTCAGAGCCTCCTCTTACACTCTTTAAATTTTGGAGGCTGTCACCACCAGCCTGGTAACATTGCTGCTGGAAGAGAACACTGACGGCCCTCTCCCTAGAAATGTTAGCTGAAACGAAAGGCCTGACATTGTTGAGTTACATAACGAAGGGGGCCGGGGAGAGGAGACCCAGGAGACAGCTCTGGTGGATGGTGGAGGTTCACCAAGAGAAGGAACGGACAACACACACGGTGGGAACAGCCACGAGGCAGGAGATGACTGAGGACTCCATTGCTATAGTCGCCATTTGTTATAGCAGTGAAATTTAGAAGTTCTCTTTTCTGTCCCATCCGTGCCCAGAACCTCACTGGTTTCCCTGCTCCCAGGGTCTCCTAATGCCACTGTGGTTCACACTGAGCACTAGTCCCTCCCAGGGCCCTAATGGTCAGCAGTGTACCCAATTTGACCTTATTCTATGCTCCTGGCTTTGTCTCTCTTGTTTTCTTTCCTCCATCTGAAATTCTGGCTGAAGGAAACAAGTCACCATGCCACCAACATGCACCACATTTTCCCATCTTTAGGTCCCTGCTCACTAGTGACCCCATCTCTAATGTCCAGTCCCATCATATCATCTCCACCTATCAAAATCCTACTCATGAAAAGAGGGAAACAAGAAAAAAAAAAAGCCTACCCATTCTTCAAGCCCAACTCAACTCTTTAACAGGCCAGTGCAGAACTGAATGAAGGCTCCCGCACAATCTTGGTCACAGTTGCACAGCCCAGATTCTCAGCAGGACCTGAAATCCACCCATAGTTCTGCCCTCTGAACAGATCAGCACCATACATTTTTCACTGACACCCACAGAAATTCCCATACTTTAGATTATAAAAGATCTAAAAGAAAACTCAGGCCGGGTGTCGTGGCTCATGCCTATAATCCTAGCACTCTGGGAGGCCAAAGCAGGAGGATCGTTTAAGTTCAGGAGTTAGAGACCAGCCTGCGCAAGAGCGAGACCCTGTGTCTACTAAAAAAAATAGAAAGAAATTAGCTGGACAGCTAAAAATATATATAGAAAAATTAGCCAGGCATGGTGGCACATGCCTGTAGTCCCAGCTACTCGGGACGCTGAGGCAGAAGGATTGCTTGAGCCCAGGAGTTTGAGGTTGCTGTGAGCTAGGCTGATCCTACAGCACTCTAGCCTGGGCAACAGAGTGAGACTCTGTCTCAAAAAAAAAAAAAAAAGAAAGAAAGAAAACTGATGCTCATAGTTCCCACACCCAAACCATAAAATTTTTTTGCACATACAGCAGTTACCAAAAAGCACCTCAAGATTTTCCTCCTGAGGTACAAAGTCACAGTGCCCTGCCACCCTCTGGCCCCTAGCTGTATATTTTCAACTCTCTCATTTATTGATTTTAGCACCTTTCTTGCTCTGGTTTATATGACATAATCCTGTAGGGAATCAGGTAGATGCTTCCAATTAGATTCATTACAAGTTCCCTTAAGAAGTGATTAAGAAGGTGGAGTCCCAAGTGGCTGGTTCCCTCAGTAATACTAGCAGCATTTTCAGGGTGCTTGCCAACACCAGACCAGGTTTTAAATGCCACATTTACTCCTTGATCGCCAGGGGATCCCTGGAAGCTTGCAAAGCTGTGGGTGCAACTGAACATAAAGTGGTGCTTTACTGAATGCCCTGCTATGACAATTGCCAGGAAAACAGCAATAGGAATGCCCCATCAAAAGGCAGTTTGAGGTGGTGGTTAAGTAGTGCATGGACTCTGTAGTTGGATGGTACTGGCTTTCTATAGGACTTTGGGCAAATTACTTAACTTCTCTGGGCCTCGGTTTTCTTATCTGTAAAAAGGGGGCGATACAGTAACAGGGCTTTGGGATAGTTAAAGTCAGCACAATGTTTGGCACATAGACTCCAAACAAATGGCAGCTATGATCATTATTGTGAGAATTGACATTCCAATGAATCACGAACTGCCTCACATTTCCTTGACATGACTTTGCAGTTGCTAAGCTATTTATGAATTCTAGAGGCTGTAAGAAAGATGGAAAGGAAGAGAGGTTTTTATATTCTCAGTAGGCTCCAGGCTTTGATTGCTGCTAAACTCTTTATACAAGTATAATAGAGATAATATTTTGAAAACAGTTCTCTTTTCCTTTCTTCATAAATCTGGTTCCTTGCCGCTCTTCAGCTGATAAGAAAGAAATCTTTAATCAGGATAGAAGAAAATCTGATGTAGATGAAGTTCTTCCTTCTGGCTTGGTGGGTTGTGGGGAAAATAACTGGAGGCAAATGGTGTGAAAAACACGTGGCAGACACCTGTGTCCTGGTTTGCCTCCAGGCCACAGTCTGGGGGAGGATAGAAGGAGAAAGGGTCCATAAACTGGGAGAGAGCCAGACATGGAAACAGAGGGGATTCATGCTCCTGTCCTTGTTCAGAACTCTGAGAAAAGACCATCACATAGAATGGCTGACACCAACCAGGAATTACCACAGAGCCATGAAGATGGTGGGGAGGCACGGTTCAGCAGAGGGAGGGCCCGTGTGCCCCCTCAAGCTTGCCTTGCTTCTTAAGGGGCAGAGAAGGGCTCCAGAAGTTCCCCAACTCCCCTTGGGGGACAAGATCAATAACAGAATTGGCAGCCTCAGGACCTGCTATAATGGGGCCTCTCTGGTTAGGGGTGAGATAACCCATCATCAATGCTGGAGAGCCTATGTTTATGCCAGGGGCTAGAGAGAGGACTTGGCTGAGACTTGGTGTGGTCTGCAGTTCCGGCAGAAGTAGAGCGGATGGGTCTAGCTGCACCTAGGAACAGCACTGCGCTTAGGGAAGACCATGGCAAGGCTCTGGGCACCTAACTGGGTCAGCCACCCCATCGTAGAGGCACAAGACAAGACAGGCCCTGCACTCACATCAAGGGCTCATCTCCCCTGCCGCAGTGGCACCCACATACCCAGACATCATCTGGTAGAGAAGCAGGAAATGAACACAGAGGAAATTGGAAAGATGGCTAATCTACCCTCTATGGGAAAGAATGAACTTTGCACAAAGAGAAGTTTGGATTTTGCTCCTAAGAGGTAATCTTTAAGCCCTTGGAAAGTCCTGCCTAATAGATCTGTCTTTGTTTACTTGAGGGCCTTAGGACATACCGGGTAGTCTCTGCTAACAGTGTGACTATGGCGGGGCTTTGAGCCATGCAGTAGCAGCTCAACCTCTGAAAGGGCTAGAAGCTCAGGTCAGCCATGCAGGTAGTCAACCATATCTATGTAACCACGCCCCCTTAAAAATTCTGGACATCAAGGCTCAGGTGAGCCTCCCGGCTGTCAAAACTCTGTGCAGATTGTCATGCATCATTGCCAGAAGGCGTTGGCACTGTCTACAGCTTCACTGAGAGGGGACAACTGGAAGCTTTACACTTGGAACTCTACTGGACTTGGCCCCATATACCTCTTGCTTTGGCCAATTAATTTGCATCTTTTCACTGTAATGCACCGTAACTGCAAATTTAACAGTCTTCAGTAAGTTCTGTAAACCTTCTAGTGAATTATTGAAACTGAGAGTGGTCTTGGGGAGTCTCCACAAACCCCAAAGGGACTGAGCCAACTGAGTAGAGAAAGATTGCATTAGAGAAAATCAAGAATCCTCATTGTCTTAGCAAATTTGAGAGGTGCTTTGCAACCATGTGATCCTACTACTCAGGCAAGTAAAGACTTTGTCCCGCTCCAAATAAGCCAGAAGTGAAAGCATCAGATTGGTTGGTCTTTTTCTCACAGAGTAAGGAAGGGGGCATGAGCACTGCCTTCAAACATTTTAAAGCTATCATGTGAGAAAGGAACTAGAATTAATATTTGTCTAGCTAGAGGGTTATATTAAGCCCAAATGGTGGAAGTTATAGAGGACCAGGTTACAGCTTATTCTAAGCACAAACTTAGAGACAACCAGAGGCTTCTAAAAACACAAGCCACTGACTCAAAAATAGTTGAGTTCCTCATCCCCAGAGATCTTGAAGTAGAAGCTAATGACCCCTTGTACTGAGTTTGTATATGGGATGAGAGTTGATCAAATGTCCTCTACATTCCAAGCTGAGAGGCATTTTGTTATGTCAGCCCTAGCAGACAAGGATAGTAATCTTTTAGTGATTTACTGACTTATTTCCTGCCTGCGTAATATTACTCATATTACTATGGCTCTTACATACATATATACATATACCTTAGTATATTTTACAGAGGTGGACAAAGCATTAACAGTGGCATTTCTGGCGATGATTTTTATATGTGCCACCTTGCAAGCACACAGGACAGAGGAGGTGATGGTGATAGTAATTATTGCAGGATTAACTCCAAAACCTCTTGTCCTGGGAAGAAATGGCAAGAGAAAATCATGAGCCTTGAAAGTAACAAGGCACTATATAAAATAAGAATGACCAGGTAGGTGACCTCTGGTAAAATCAAGATTAGGATTTGCTGTAAACACTAGCTTCTGTACATATATTAATATCTGAGAAGATAGGGTTGGAATCTTACTACAGTAGAAACCATATCGGTTCAGAATTGTAAACAGGAGAGATGGCAAAAGCGGAAAGAAAATAATTTTCCAGCTCTCTGCTGGAACAGCACCATCTGCTGGACCCACTCAAAATGCAGACTTTCCAACCCTGGTGGAACTGAACAGTTACCAGCCCCTTCTAGCTGCTCCTTCTCTGGACCCTAACGTTCCCCTTCTTGTTTCCTGAC